AGATTCCATCTCTGTGATTCCTGCGCCAGTCACTTAACTTCACTCGCTCAGGTTTGTGTATTTGTCCTCTAAACTTGCCTCAGTGTCAGTGAGAATTAACCTGTCTGGTTGTGTTTACATGATTTAACCTTTTCATTAAGCTAATGTTAGCTTCTGGTAAAAACTAGAATAGTCAGACAAAAGTAGCTTAAGCTAACAGGTCTGCTCACAAAAACACAGATTTACCTGCTCAGATTTGAGTTTTTATTCTCTAAACTTGTGTACGTGAGACTTCACTGAGCCGAAATGAACCTGGACGGTTGTGTGTGAAGCAGTTTAGGCATTCTTCTTAAGCTAATGCTAACAAGGATATTGAAACAGAAGTAGCCAACAACTCCACATCCAAATCCTCCAGCTTACTCGCTCAGATTCTTTATTCTCTGAACTTCATTAATCCAGAATGAACCTGTGCTGTGTTTCATAACGCTGTAGCATGCTAAGCTACCTCAGTAGAATGCTAGCTGCTGCTTTGAGAGGCCTACACCATATTTGACAGTTGCTTAGATAGATGTGGAATATAAATATCACACCATCATAATTTTAAATACCATCATTTATCTACTCTAGCTAACAGCTTACTGCTCAGTCCAAGCAAGTTAGCTATGTTAGCGCAGGCCTGTTCTGTAGTTTCCTGTCACCATGTCTGCTCGTGCTCATGGATGTAAACGTTCAAAGAGTAACAAAGAGCGGCTTAACAAAAGGAGCATGAAAGCCAGACCAGGTCAGAACAGCGAAGAGTAGAAATACAAACATGGGCACTGATCGAAAAGAGAAGGTCAAATACACGCGTGGGTCAAAGCCAAAAACGAGAAACAGGTCATAAACTCTGGAAGATCAGACAAAGACATGACCGCTCAGAACAGGTAAGGTGGGCAATACTTCAGAAAGAGCTCCTCAAACAGAAAGGTATTTATACATGGCAGGGAAATAGGACACAGTGACAGTTCAGTAATCAGGTAACGTGGATCTAGGAAGCTGTCCGTGCTTGTTCAAGTCCTTGGTGTGAGAGTCCAGAGAATCATGGGAATTGTAGTGTGTGGGGTCGATGGAAGCAGGGAGAAGACCCGGAGATGTGACAGTGTCACAATCATCTCATTAGCATATTTTAATATATTGAACTGTGTTCATTCGCGTTCATGATGTACTAAGCTGCAAAGTAACGCCCAATGAATCACTGTTTGGATGTAGTAAAGATATACCGAGAAACTTTGTTGTTTTCAATGGTAAAGTGTGAACTTTGGCATGAAGTAACAAATTTGACCCAAATATTAGGCTATATAAGCCACCCAAGAGCAGTTAATCATATAAAAAATATATTAAGTATAAGAGGGCGCGACTCCCATTGTAAAACACTCTGGATCAAGCCACTTGCCAAAAATGTCCATATGTGGATTATAGTGTGAACCAAATTAAAATGACCAGTATTAACATCTGCCACTGTGTTTTCCGATTCTGGCCGAATGTTTCTTAGAAACCAATGTTCCACGGAATAATTCAGTTATTAGATATAACATCATGAATGTAATTAGATGGTGTGGTTGAAACTAATTGTTGTATAATTATTGGTTATCAGTATCGATCTAGAAATTCCATTCAATGCTGCATCCCTACAGAGTACAGCACAACAGAGACAGTGATTAAAGGGAGAGATGTTTCTCAGTCCAGAGGCCAGTCTGAGTGCTTGGCCTGCAGATACTCGGCTGGGACGGGATCAGTCTGGGGATTGGATTTTGTCAAGCCGGGCGTGTATGGATATAAACGAGGGGTCTGCCTGGGAGCATGTTGGTGTGATGAAGCCTGAGCGGAATGGATGTTGCACAAGGAGAGCCCAAGCCTCGTGCAAGGTTTAGCCATGCCATCCATCTCCATTTCCATTGCTTTGGAGGCTCCCTCAGTGGCTGCCAGTCAGAATGCATGGTCCGCTATGGGTCCATTTTCTGATAGTCAGGGGGCTGATGGGATGGAGGATGAAGACAATGTCTCAGTCCCTGGCTAATAGTAACGGATGTCCACTGAGTTACTGTATCCTGACAGACTGACGACAGTGTTCAACAACACCCCTACACTGTGACCATATCCAGGGAGCTGACTGTGTGTTTATAATGGCTTGATTTTCAGATGAGGTGTTTATTGAACGTGTTTTCAGTTTTAGAATTATGTTTGGTGGACTAAAATGTCTTGTCTTTGCAGTTTTCTACACATTATACAGGCGGAAGGGTATTGAACCAGATCTTTTTTGTTCTTTTGTCAAGGGTAGACTTACTACTGCTGTTTATATTACAGAGCTTTGAAAGTGTTTTAAAATATGTAGCTGGCTTGACAAAGTCAGCTTACTGTTCTTCTGTTTATTATTCTATGTTTTCACAGTTAGCAGTTTTCAAGCTTGAACCACAAAACTTTGCATATGTGTAGGGGCTACATGAGAATGGTGCACTTGTGCTTTTGAGACTGATTGCATGTACGTTTTTTGTGCAGAATTTATTCAAACACAGTTGTTTTTTCTCATAGTAAATGAATGAAAGAATGTTTAGAAAAATTCTAATCTGACTGCCACAAATGATGTCGCGAAGGATTCTCACACTGCCACTTGTAGACATTACATACAGACTCATACATGCAAGCACACGTATGCAAATAGATATTGGCAACCACCTGGGATACCATAGCAATGGCCTAGCAACACCTTAGAAACCACCTGGGATACCATAGCAACCACCCAGCAACACCTTAGCAACCACCTGGGATACCATAGCAACCGCCTAGCAACACCTTAGGAACCACCTGGAATACCATAGCAATGGCCCAGCAACACCTTAACAACCACTTGGGATTTTTAGCGATGGCCTAGCAACACCTTAGGAACCACCTGGGATACCATAGCAACCGCCTAGCAACACCTTAGGAACCACCTGGGATACCATAGCAATGGCCCAGCAACACCTTAACAACCACTTGGGATTTTTAGCGATGGCCTAGCAACACCTTAGGAACCACCTGGGATACCATAGCAACCGCCTAGTAACACCTTAGGAACCACCTAGGATACCATAGCAATGGCCTAGCAACACTTTAGCAACCACCTGGGAGTCTTTAGCAACAACCTAGCAATACTGTAAGAGCCACCTAGAATACCATTGCAGTGGCCTAGCAGCACCTTAGCAACCACCTGGTATTGTGCAGCGATGGCCTAGCAACACCTTAGCAACCACCTGGGATTTAGTGGCTTTGTCTAGCCAACTTAGTTTTGTTCACAAACTTTCCCCCTTGTAGTTGTTGAACTATCATTGCTCTTATTTATGAGTGCTTTTGTACGGCTGAAGTGAGGAAAGTACACTTAATTTATATTTTATTGTTAATTCTAGCTACTTTGGAATGTACATGTCTGCATGTCTGCCCTGTGATGGACTGGTGACCTGTCCAGGGTGTTTCCTGCCTTTCACCCACTGACCGCTGGGATAGGCTCCAGCACCCCCTCAATGTGTGTGTGTTGCTACTTTGGAGGTAATACAGATTGCAAAGTTTATCTTCAGGTCTCACTGTAGCACTTTAATGTGATTAGCAACTGCTGCTTAAGCCTTGTCTGTGACTGGGTTGAGCGTTTTTTGATACTGTGTGATTTAGCCTGATCTCATAGCCTGATGTCTACAAAAAAAGGAATATTTCTTGTGAATTGTTTGAACCTTGTTACGACCCAGTATAGGGTCAGGCCGTAACAGAAAATTAGAGTGGACTCTCCCCCCAGACCTGCTGCCAGACCAGACACCGGACACCATGGAAGTCAGAAAATGGCAGATTTATTTACTTCAAAAGCTCAAACACAAGTTGAGTTGATGGCTTCAGGGACGAGCATATGCCAAAATAACAAACAAAACAACTAATGATTACAAATCTAATTGATAAAACCTGAAAACAAAACGAAACCAAAATACAAAAGGCGACCCTGTCTGCTTCAAAACCAGGACAAACAGTAACCAAAACAAAACGGCACTCGTCCCCTACTTTCCACACGTTCCTAAAGAGTTTCACAGAATCTAACAAAGCTTTCATAAATTTTACAAGCAAAGAGAAGCAGAGAGTGTTGTAAAGAGTGCTGGGCTTGTCTGGACAGTTGTTCTTCTAGGTCATGTCAAAAGGGAGAGAACCCTGAACGCTGTCTCCCAAGATGGTGACTCGGTGACCTCTTATACATTAGTGCGCCCCCGTGTGGCCAATCATGCACCTGCACATAAGAGGACACACAACAGGGGAAACACACAGAATGCCAGCACAAGGCACACGAGAGGTATATTACGACCAGAGGTCATAACAAACCTACACTATGCCAACTTTGTGAGCACAGAAGGCCATCAGGTGCCCCTAAACTGTATTAATGTCTGATGCTTTTGAAGAAATTCCAAGAAAACTTTAGTTCTTTCTCACCTAAACGTGCCTCTCACGAGGCCCCCTAAACCTGAGGAAACTGTTCAGTTTCTTCTTTGGGTTCCAAAAAATGTTCTTACTTTTACAGCTGGACCACACATATCATGCATGGACAGTGACCATTTAGGAAGGTGGACTAAAATTCATTTTTGACCCTGCACATAATGTACATTTTGTTCATATCCTGTAACATTGACACTTGGATATCACAAACATCACGCAAGAGGTGGAGATTCAGCAAAACCAGTGAGATTCAGTAGCAGTGTTGTGTACATCTACAGATGTAGCTGTTAGCACTTAGCATATTAGGTGACATGGTTGGCCTCATAAATTAGCATTGGAATAGAAAGCTATCTATAGACACCTGAGTAAGTGAGGTTTTACCTCTTTGTCTTTTTGCATATCTTTGGTGTAAAATGGGACTTGTTTCCATTGTAATGCTGATAAGGCCGAGCTTACAAACTTTCTGTGTTAATCAGCTTAACTGTCTTAGCTGAGCTCAGTTGAATACCCCTCTCTCTCTGTCTCTCTCTCTCTCTCAGACTGAGCCTGGCCCCATAGCCGTCGAGCCGTGTTCAGGTACCCGAGCTGCAGTACTGACTGTGTTGGTCAACTTGCCCCGAGAGAACTCTGGAGTGCCTCCTCCAGGCCAGTCTGGTAAGATCCCACAGGATCCTTTAGAAATCTGGTGGTCGTATTCGCAAAACTCGTAGTACAGACTGCATTAAAACCGCTAAATAACAGATAGAATTTAAAGTCAAACAATTTAAAATAAATAAAAATATAAAACGAAGAAAACTCATCCATTACACTTGTCAGATCATTTTGATTTATCTGTACCCACTGGAAGTTCTCGCCATTTTGTTTCCATTATTTATGAATATATATGCAGTAACATAAATGTATATAAAAACACAAACGTAACATGAGCCCCAGTTCTCGCCTTTGGTTAGACAAGGCAGAGGGAAATGACGTGCTGAGCTCACTTTGGTAGATATCAAAACAGTTGTTTACCTTCCCTTCAAGCTTTGGCCTGGTGTTGTGCCATGGCTGCCTCAGGATGTCCTATCTGTCTTTTTAAAATGACATACTAGAAAGGTCTAAAATGGTCTTGGGTTAAGAGGGACATGAGACCGTTGTGACGGCCATTCTTAGTAACTTCCATGAAGCTTTGATAATCTGGCTCCCTGGCCTTTACAAGATCTAACAAGAGCTAATAGGCAAACATACAGTTAAGAAAAAGCCTTGAGTTAACATGCTGAAAAATGTAAATCTTTCACATACACTACCAGTCAAAAAACTAGTTTTTATTTTAATTCTATCATTTTTGCTATGTGTTTCTTTCTGTTTTTAAATAGGAGTTGGATGTAGTATGTTAACACTGTCTAAGTTTTAAAAAATCCATTCGCTACCCAGTTCAAACAGTCTGCATAAGCTGCTGAAACAGCCCGTTAATTGTTTTAAATGTTAATTGTGAATAAGTTGTGAATTAATTGTTTTTCTGATGTCACAAAACCAGCATATTTACATATATCTGCCTATTCAGTTTACAACACTTTAGCTCCACCTACTCATGTTGAAGTTGTAAAGGGTGTTTCAGCCTGGACTGCTTTTTAATGAGGTGCAGTACACAACAGCCAATCAGAACAGAGGTCATTTACATATGTAACTCTTAAAGGCCTAGTTTAATTAAGAAATAAACAGAGTTGTCTTGGTCACGTAAAAATAATCTTTTCAGATGAATATTTTTGATGCATACATCCACACAAATTTAATAAGTGGACCTTAGTGGACAAAAAATAAATAAATACAAGTTGTAGCCACTTAACTTTAGACCAGCTGCCTGCTGCTAGCTTTCATACACTAGCGCTCTGGCTAACAGGCCGACTCTTAGCCATTAAGACATACTAATACTGCCTCTAGGTGAGGTTTTGAAATAATTTTACTGAGGCTAATATTACTGAGGTAGCCATTGATTTGTATAGACAGCCATACTGGTGCTCTTAACATAGCCCCTTGGCTTTAGTAGTATCTGCTGCACCAAAATGAGCTTCAGGCGTTCTTGAAAGCTAACTGCTACCCTTTGACCCTAGCAGTAGCTACAATAGGTCAATACGCTTAGCATGCATGGTAACTACAAGTGGCTTCTCATGTCGTGTTTAACTCAGACCCTTACAATTGTGCCTGACACCATTAGAGCCCTGTGACAGCCATGAGTTCTGCCCTTTGTGCCCCAGTATAAATCATGGGAGACAGGCTCTGACTGATCCATGCATGCTTTATAGACACAGCGCCACACTAGGCCTATATAAGACTGCCACCACTGGAGCGTGGACATTTCATGACGAAATTTGGACAATAAAGGGGAATTCCACTGATTGTTTCAAATTTTCTGCATAATTAAGTTGTTACAATGGTAACAGTCATTCAGAGTGTCAGACTTGTTCACAGTGGTGGTGATAGGAACCAGACATCTGAAGTGTCTGTTGAAGCATTTCACATCAAACCACTCTGAATCACTCTGACTTCATTTACATCTCAGTCAATGAATTGGGCAGACATTTTGAAAAACAGGCCCGAATTAGATGCCGAGAGTGAGCCAGATAGTTCTTTGTTCTAAGACTACTATTAATCATTGACCATTCCACCATTACCCCTGCTTGCAGAGCACCCGAGTGGTTGACCCTTTGTTAGGGCCCCCTGTGGTTACTAACATGCGTACAGGATTTTGAACACTAAACAGACTTTTTAAAATTTAAGATTACATTACATTTGAAATAATATCTACTATATTAAAAATAATATGTATTTCATGACATCTGACTGCTCTCACTTTGTTTCACATTTACATTTTCATTACCTTTTTTCTGCAATTAAAAGATGCTTCTTTTCGCCCCATTACTTACCCAACCCTTCAGCTCGGTGTAATACAGTCAACACTAGGTAGCTCATTGTAGTCTGTTGGTGTCAGTCTGCTGCTGTTAACTTAGAATGACCACAGACATCATGTGCACGTGCTCAGACTGCTAAGTTCAGCAGAAGTTAGGCACATGAGTCCTTGCTCAGAAGTATTTATACAGCCAGACGTCGGTTTCTCATTTGTTTAATTGCTCTGCTGTGTCATTTGATGTGCAAAATACATTGTTAGACACAGCCATGGACTCAATAACTTAGATCTATTAAAATTCCTAGAAATCCATTGAGCAGCGTGGCAGTGAGCTAGACTTCGCTCTAACGTTTCTGTGAAGCCAAGCGTCTCCTGTCGCTTGCCCCACCCCCACCCCCCTTCCTCGTGCATGTGTGCTTCCTGGTTCTCCTTCAGTGCCTTCATTTTAGTTCTCGTTTCAGCTGTTTTACATTGTGTGCCTTTATATTTTGTCTCATGTTGAAATATATATTGTAACGTTACTGTTGATGGGATTTATATGCTTAGAAATAGTAAAGAGAGGAAGAAAACGAATGAAAAAGGTTTCATGCATTGGCCGGGAATCGAACCCGGGCCTCCCGCGTGGCAGGCGAGAATTCTACCACTGAACCACCAATGCTTGAATGAATGCAGGAGGGAGTGGCCTGACATATAAAGACTCTCTTAGTGGTTGAGTGTGTGTGTGAATTAGGAAGCAGAGAGCTCAGCCGTGTTCTCTGTACACATTGTAATGATTAGCGGATTCAGCAGATATTGCTCTGTCTCAAACCCCAACCAGCCATCTCGGTCTTAGTCCTCTAGCTTTCTTCCTTGTTGCATACATTGGGGATATGATACATGATTGTTTTTCTTCTGATTAGGTGCTATCTGAAGTGCAGAAAGAGTGCAGGCATGTTGAAATACTGTATTTAATATGCCTCAGTTGACTTTTCCTTGCCATTTACACTTGGGGGAATCCCTGACACCAACTTAAGGGCCGTCTGTATGAGCCAAAGTGAAGTTTGATCACCCTTTGGAGAGGCGAGGGATTAAGCCAGCAAAAATGTAGACGTCAGCAGCAGAAATTGTCCAGAAATCACTGTAACTCTGACTCAAATTCTCTTTTCCAGCCTGAAAAATACGCCAGACAAAGCTAAAGTAAAAAAATACCTTTGAAATACTTAATGTTCTGATATTAACACTTGATTTGCTATGTTCAGATGGGCCTTTATAGACAAAGTACTCCGTCTAAATGTTATACATGACTGCTGGTTTGCTAGTAGGCAAGTTAAGGGTTACAAAGCAAAAAGGGCCGTGCACCACAGTAGTAATTCTGAAGCACATTACGCTCAGACTTCTCCAAAAAAGGTTTGCATTACAAAGTTTGCTTTCCTAGCTGATTACCTCACTGATGCTAGCCTAGCTAAGTTCCTGTGGACTTCTGAAGTCTGGATGGCAATTTGTAGTCAAAGAGACTCACCAAAACTGTCTGATTTTCTCCTTCAGGCAGCAGTAGATCAGAAATGTAATAACTTATTATTTCATATAATGACATTTTCTCAAAGTATTGAATGAGTATCTCAAAATAATGACGTACTTCCTCAAAATGTTGAGTGCATTTACATGCACTTAATTTGATAACTGCAGAAAATCAGATTTTGTCAGTAATCCGGATCAGTAAATCGGAGTATGCTGTTTACATGACCACATGACCATTTGAATAATCAGATAACTGCAGAAATCCAATTATGATCGGATTATTGAGTACATGTAAATGCACTCATTGATTTAATATCTTGAAATAATTTCTTGAGGCATTGAAAATAATGTACACAGGACAAAATGTATCAGCTTTGGAATGTATGTATCAGCAACATTTTTTCCATCAGCTTAGACTCAGAGTTCCTAAAATGAGCACATCACCGACCTCAAAATGACACACAACTTCAGAGGTCTGATTCCTCATTGTTGTCCCCTCCTCCTCTTGACCTGCGAGTGGGCATTTGCGTAAGTGCTAGGCATGTCCGAGCCGTGAGGTGAAGTTGGCGAGGGCTTGTTAAAACCAGTATTGAAATGGCGTGTTGAAAAGTTTTGCGTTCATGGTTCACAAGTTCAGCCAATCGTCCAGAAACCTCTTTCACCAACTTCCTGCTGAAAGAGAAGATCTATTGATCTGCTGCATTCAGTGGCTACACTGTATACCCTTCTTTTCCTCTAGTCTCTGCCCTCCCGCTCTGTCTCTCTGTTTTTTACCTCCTCTCCCTCATCTGCCGCGAGATCATGCTTGCCAAGGAGCCGTGATAAATGAGGTGAAATGTGAGCAGGTGTAAAAAGCACTGCAGCAGGAAGGTGCACTCTGCAAGCCAGCAGCTTCTTCTGCCTCCATCTCGCACCACAGAGAGAGAGACAGGGAGGGGAAATGAGCAGAGATAAGTATTAGGATAGAAGTAAACAAAGTCATAGAAAAAGACAGGGAGGGAGGGAGAGAAATGGAGTCAAATTGTGCTGACAGAGAATGTTAGCTGGCTGGGAAAATCAAATGCTAACAGAAGAGACAAGGTAAATGTATCCTCATCCCTTAAGCCAGACATCTTATGCTCGCCACTGCATATGGGAGATGAGCGTGCGCTGGCAAACAGGCTCGGCCTGTGTAAGAAACAGAGCACTGATTTGATGAGCGCTGACTTCATCTGCTGAATTCTCATCTCATACAGCTTGTGGCTACAGTGATGAATGAGATTCTTAACTGCAT